CGTGTCACACGGGAGAGCACAGGGTGTACTGGGAGTACAAGAGACGGCAAACTTGGCAATGACGGTAACCAAGACCAAATTGCAGAGATCTGGTCTCGGTGTAGAGGCATCGCTGGGACCCAAGATGAGCTTCGTATTCAAAAATTTTCTCAAAGGAAAAAAGAGTGAGAGCAAGAAAGAAGAGAGGAGGAGAGAGACAGGATTGTCCCCAAGATACGAGCAGCAGTGACCAAGAGGCGGGGGTGGCGCTGCCTTCTCAGGACCCAGCATCCACAGAAGGGAGCCTGTCAGAGACGCACTGACCGAGTTCTGTTTCTCTTAGGCAGAGCTCTCCGAGGAGAAAGCGGCATTGATTTATTAAGTTCTATGGGCAAAGCATATGCATAGTCCTGTTTATTTATTTAAATTATGATGGTAAGTTTGCCATAGAAATCATATTAATAAAACATATGACATGTAACTGTAGATGAGGAAAGAAAATGTAGGCAGAGGTAAGACGGGGAGAAACTGAAAGGGCATTTCAGGAAAGACCAGTAGGGACATGGCAACAAAGGGCCTGGTAATTTATTTAAATACCCCCGGGGGAGGTTCTATGGCCTCCTTGCCGGAGGCCAGAGAAGTCACGCCTGGTTAGGGAGGTGGGGCGCTTAGAAGGGATTAAGAGGGGGAGGAGCGGGCAAGCGATCCTAGGGGGGTGTTGAGAGGTATGATTGGCTAAAGGTGACATAATAGTCAACTAGAAACTTTTCCTTCCAAGAGGGAGGAGGCTGACATCCGGGTCCCAGTTGGCACATCAGGATGGAATTCGGGGAGAGCTGCCCCCCTTCCATATACTGCACGGGCTTTGGGGTCTGGTCTGTTCTCCCCCTATGGCATCTCTCTGTTCTGTTTGCATGTCCTTGTTTTTCCTTTCTCCAGCCTAACAATATGAATATCAGCATTGCCCACAAAACTGCCAGGCCCAGACTGCATTAGGTTGATCACGACTGGTGCATGCCAGGCATTCTCCTCTCAAGTGTGTACTTTCACTTCCAATAAACTGCTTGCAATTTCTTTCACCTGTTTGTGGCCTGGTTAATGTCATCCTGGTAAAGGTAACTTCCTCTGCCTAACTGAGACCTCCTCGGAGGTTCCTCCAACAGCATCATTGTCTAAAAATAACATCTGTGGGTAAAATTGTAATATTCCAGAATTTCTCACCTGGCTCTAGAGCATCTTCATATGATCCTAAGGGGTGGAGCGCAGTATTTCATCTCCATATCAATGGGTAATTACCTGGGTGACTAAGGGCTTATCCGGACCTGAGAAGTTGGGGGGAGGTCTTGCTTACTTCTGCCAGTGCAGGAAAGAGATGGCCCCGGACGGCAGTCTGTAAGCAATAAGCAGGTTTTAAACTTAATTTCTCCCTTCGACTGATTTTGGTTTCAGCTAGTTGTTTTGCCCCGGGATTTCCTCTCCCCAGAGTTGTCTGGTGGTGGTCTGCAGGACCTTTGAACCTGAAACCTGTCTAAATGGGTGCGACCTTTGGGATGGCTGCCCCTAGAGACGGTGGGGAGTTGCTCAGCAACCCCTCTGTGGATGGTGGGGAGGCCCCAGCGGATGCAGCAGCAGAGGGTGCAGCTTCACCTGTTATTGTCCCCCCATCTGTGGGGTTTCCAATTTGGGAACCCCTAGTGGGAAATTGGTTTAGGGTTAAGCACCTCCTGGGGCGGGGGGGCTTCCCCAGAACTGGGGAAGGGTGGAAACACTGGAAGCTGCAGAATTAGCCCTCCGTGGAGGCCTCCTGTGTAGCCACTGGCATTTTAGGGTCTCTTTTCATCGAGAAAGTGGAAAATGCTATCGAGGAGAAAGGATTATGCAGAGGATTAGCGAGGACAGAGAGGGACTTAGGCGGGAGAGAGACCCTTCAGCAGCGCCTGGAGGAGCTGGGAGATAACCTACGGGATGCCATTAAAGAAGAGAGTAGATTATTAAAAAGAAAGGTCACGCTCTTGGAAGACTCCTCAGCAGCGGCGAGGAGGGAGGGGGCAGGAGAAGCCGCGTCGAGGGAGGCCGTGGGGGAGGGGAGGAAGAGCGGCGCCTTCAGCCCCAGAGACGGGGGCGGAGCCGTTGGGGGCGGAGCCGTTGGGGGCGGAGCCGTTGGGGGCGGAGCCGTTGGGGGCGGAGCCCGAGGGAGAAGAGGAGGCGGCGGCGCCGTTGGCGGATCTGCTGCCCAGGCCACCGCCGGAGGTACCAGCCTCTCCTGTTTTAAAGGCCCGCACAGCTGTAATTAAGAAAATAAAAATGAAACAACTGCGGGCTCCTCAGGGGGAGGAGGAGCCCCCTCCCCAGGCTGGGGAGCACTCCATGCTCAGCCCTATACCCAGGATGAGCTGGTGGGCATGGGCGTCCGGTACAGGCAGAGGCCATCGGAATCTCTGCCTACATGGCTCTTACGTCTCTGGGATATGGGGGTGGAAATCATTGCTGTATCGGGTATTGACGTGAGTAGAATGGCTTCCCTGACGACTCACCCTTCCCTCCGGCAATGGTTGCAAAATGCCCATCACGCCTCAGGGAATCAGACACTCCTGGAATGGCTGCCAGCTGCCATCAGGGTAGTTTGGCCTAATCAGGGTGACTTACCATACTTTCCCAGTAGTTGGAAACGTATGCAGAGCTCCAGCAGGTACTGCGGGACATCATCTATGATATGGACCCCCAGGGCCCTGAGGAGGTGTTCACTGTAGGAATGAGAACCTGGTGCCGCACCCAGCTCCCACATCTCTCCTTGGGTCCTTAGTGATACTCTTGCCCCCCACCTAGGGCACCCCATAAGGGAGGCTACTCGTACTAGAGCAGATCTGGGGGAGGTTGAAACAATAAGGGCACCGAGGGAAGTACAGGCCACGAGTGAGAGGAGAGGTGCAAGAGGCCCCGTGAAGGTCTCAAGGACCCACATGTGGTTGATTTGATAAAGGCCGGGGTAGTGAAAGAAAAACTCGATGGGCAGCCCAACAGAATATTGTTAGAACTGTGGCACCAATTAAAGCCAGAGCAGCAGTTCCAGCCGCTGAGGTCCAGGACAGGGAAACCAGAGTCAAGGCCTCATGCCCAGCCTGTGTCCCTGCAAAACTTCCTGGGAGAATTTACTCAGGATTCACCTGAGTCCTCACACCCACAGGAGGATGATTGCGCATCACGGTTTGACTGGGGAGCTGTCAAACTCTCCACCTTGGGGCACATGGTGGGGACCAGAGGCCACATCTAGAATTAGCAGTTCATTGGTCCCCCGTGAATGTACAACGTGTCCTGGCGCTGGTGGGCACAGGAGCTGAGTGTTCTCTGATTCATGGCACCCCTGAGCGGTTTCCCGGGCCCCCTGCTGTGATAGGTGGCTATGGGGAAAAGGCAGTTAGAGTGAAGAAAGCCCAGATCCCATTGGGGATGGGGCATTTACCCCCAAGGGAGTATACCATGTGCATTTCTCCCATCCCTGAATATATTTTGGGGGTGGATATCCTGCAGGGGCCTGTGGTTACAGACCACTCCAGGTGAGTTCAGACTGAGGGTATGTGTGGTAAAGGGACATGCTAAGCA